TGGAAAATAATACGCAGGTAATAATAGTGATGGTTTTCTGAAGAGGATGGATCGAAGGATAGCCTAGAGAGGTGCTAGAATTTCATGCAAATCACAACGTGGACAACATTGGATGTACGACGAATTCAACGCCTTTAATGTTCTGTGATTGAACATTTACCGACAAATGATTAGCCATCACTAATCTGACCCACGTCTTCCTGGACTTCGTCTCCTGCAAGGCGACTAAGTGATAGTGATGCGTCCTACGGCTTCCAGAAGTGTGTAAAGGTTGGCCTTGGGGGAGGCTGCCTTGCCGCTATAGGTGCAGAGCGTGAGAGAATCTTCATGGCGAGTCGTTGATGAGCCCTTTTTGTCCAATATTCATGACATCCCGCGCAGTGTGACGCATGCCATCCGACGGCGGAGAGGATCTAGTGTGCAGGACTCCTTTTTTTCTTACATCTTTACAGGCAATAAGATTTTACTCAAACTTAGTAGTGTTGTCGGGAGGTGCTAAGCTTTCACTGCAGGTAATGGCTGTTTGTGGATCAGGGAAGACTGGCGATTAAATTAGCCAGACGGGGCGCTTATTGTTCTCCTAGCTGAGCGTCCGGGAAGCCAGAAACGTTAAATTCCTTCCCAGCGTAAGACCTTGCTAGAGGACAAACTTTGGTGTCCTGACAGTTCAGCATCCAAAATCTCTTCTGCGCCATCATGAGATGGTAGATCATCAGGACATGTCAGCCTAGTTCATCAATTAAATAAAGGCTTAGAACACTTAACAACCATTATCATTTCTTAAAGGCATTTGAAACATAAACAATTATCACTCAAAAAGAAGTTTGTTTGTTTGATTTAGCTGCGATTGACATGCTCAGCGGTTGTGTAAACTAGTTCTGGATTTTTCGTTCTTAATATGGTATTCAGAGGTGGAACTTATAGCGCTTATATGAGAAAACTTTGTTTATTAGAAATAGCAGCTAGATTTGCAAGATGATGTTTTTGTATGTAAGCACGTAAGGTTTGTATGTGGTAATTTTCTGGAAGGAATAACACTTCTCTGAAGGAGAAGCACTTGTGAATGAATAAGTAGGGATAAAGAATAACGAGAAAAGTACAAGTCATGCGAGAGGTACTGAATATAGCGTCACTAGTGTGACAATGAAAATTATTTATTGAAGGTCACTTCATTTTGCAATCAGGAATAAGGGCGGTAGATTGATCCACTAAGACTTCTTATATTCTATCTAGAGCAAGTACAAGAAGCCAGTGGGTCTTAGTGCGGTTACATTCGGAAAGTTTATGAGCTAGTGCCAGATTTGTCACATCAAGCTTTTAGTAAAACAGAATTTGCGTAAAGTGCAATGCTGACATTTTGGCAACACCGTATCGTCAAAATTCCATCCTGTATCCTTGCCAGATTACCCTGCTCATTGCGCCTTATAAAAGTGTATGCTTTGCCGTTATCACATCAAAGATCTTCGAAAGAGTGGACTATTTTCGTGCAGCAATAAGTTCTTCCCTTCACAATCATCCTTTGGCTATAGATTCAGGC